ATGGTATAGTGGTGTTCTTTGCCAACAGCAAAATTCAAAACCCTCAATTATTCTTTGATTTTCTTCATTCATTGTCCAGTCTACTCACATCAGTAGGATAGGAGATCATTAAAAATACCACAAAACTCGTTCTTTAATAATACAGAGCATCTAAAGTGGATGGGAGAAATGATGAAGTAAAAGAGCGGAATAGAATATTTTCAGAGGGCAGCTTGTGAAGACAAAGTAATGCATTATAATAAAAAGTGCAAAGACCTAGAGCTAGATAACCAGAATTGAAGAACACCCTTGGCATTTCTCAAGCCAAAAAAACTGTAGAAAAAAAATTCATACCTTGAGTTACAATATTGAAGGATTCTATGAGAAAAAAGACTGAATGATGCAAGAAGCCATCAAAAGAAGGTGGAAAGAATATACAGAGACATTGTACCAAAGGGGGGAAACTATGTCTGTGGAATATATACATATTGGCCAACATTCAGCCATTTCAGGAGGTAGCATGTGACCAGTAGTATTAAAGGAAGAAGTCGGTCTACACTGAAGGCACTGGCGAAAAACAAGACTCTAAGAATTGATAGGTCACCAAGTAAGAAGTTTTTACAAATGGATGTGATGTTGGAAGTGCTCACTCATCTTTGCCAAGACGTTTGGAAGACAGCCACATGGACAGCTGTCTGGAGAAGATCCATATTTGTGCCCGTTTTAAAGAAAGGTGATCCAACCGAATGTGGAAGTTATCTAAAAATAATCATATTAAAGTAAAATGTTACTGAATTCATAAACTGTTGCAGCTGTGTACCAACAGGAATTGCCAGAATTTCAAGCTAGATTCAGAAGAGGCTGTGGCTCAAGGACTATCACTGGTGATGTCAGATGGATCTTGGCTGAAAGCAAGGAATATCAGAACAATGTTTACATGTGTTTTATTTACTATTGTAGAGGCGTTTGACTATATGGATCATGACAAATTTTAGGTAAAATTTGAAATAATGGGAATTCCACAATAAATTGTGTTTGTTCAGAACCTGAAAACAGATAAAGAGGCAGTCATTTGAATAAAACAAGGAGGGTACTGCGTGGTTTTAAACCAGGAAACTTTTGAATCAAGGTTATATCCTTTCACTTTACTTACTTAATATGTGTGCTGAACAAAGAATCCAAAAAACTAGACTAAATGAAGAAAAGCGTGGAGTAAGGACCAGAGGAAGATTCATTAATAATCTGTGCTATGCAGGTGACGTATCTTGCTTGCTGAAGGTGCAGACAATTTGAAGGACTCACTGATATATGGATCACATATCCACATGAAAATTCCTCACAAGTGAACCAATATTGAAGTTGTCAAGGATTTTATTTTACTTGGATCCACAATCATTGCCTACGGAAGCAGCAGTTAAGATATCAAATGATGAATTACACTGGGCAAATCTCATGCAAAACATCTTTGAAGTGCTTAAGAGAAGGGAAGATGTCACTCTGAGGACTAAGGTGTGCCTCACCCAAACATATATAGGTTTACCATAATAATATATTATTAAACTAACAGACTAAACCCTAGGTATGTGATACTGTAGGATTAGCATTGAACCACAAAGACAGTTTGAACCGCAAGGTCAGAAGTTCAGACTCATTAGCTGCTCTTCAGTAACCCTATACAGGGTTGCTATGAGTTGGAACAGAGTGGACGACACTTTAACAACACCAGCAATTATTACTATAATTATTGAAAAATGATACAAAATAGGAAGTGGCTCAGTTTCCAAGTATTAGAGAAACTAAGTACTGTGTATGGTTGAGCCATCTTCTAGAAGGATGGAGTTTGGATGGAGAAGAGGACCGGGAAAGGCATGAGTATAGAGGTATTTGAGGATAGTGAAAAGTGATTTAGCAAAAACCTGGGCCAAGCAGAGGATCAACCAGGAAGTCAAATTGGGTTTAGAATATAAATTTTTTTTTTTTTTTTTAGTTGCTTGCTGGTTTTAATGTGAGTTGTCACATTAAACTATCGTGAGAATGTTTGTGCACAAGTCCAGCCAGCCAGCCCAATCTCTCCACACTGTCGGTGGAGAGAGCACACTTTATTTTGTCGTATTTGTGAGATAACTGTAATCCCCAAATCCTACTACAATGTACACTTTTTTTTAGAAATAGAGTTTACTAATTTAATAGGCAATTTCATGTAAGGGAATGTAGGAACTATCATTAGGTAGAATCTTGTGAGCTAATTTTCAGTTTATGTGTAACCTAAGGAAGATTTTTCAAAACTCAGTCTCTTGGGAAGCCCATCGTACATTCTTGGGACTGCCGCCTCTGTGCTCTCAACCTGAACAGCTCTGTTTTCCTATTTCATATATTGAACCACATACATTTTACTTGAAGAAAGGGGTTGTTTCACAACATTTTAATAACATTGTTGGTAAGTGCTGTTGAGCTAGTTCCAACTCATGAGATCCTGTATATGTTTTCTTAGGAGAGGCTGGTGGGTTTGGGTTTCCATCCACAATAAGGTTAGCAGTTCTGTGCTTATCCTAGCACAGTACCACACCAGGACTCCTTTAATAACATTACTTAATGTTTTAAAGCATTATCTGTCAGTCCTCGAGCGATTGCTTTCCTGTTCACTCCAGACTGAAATCTTTCTCCTCAAACCTCTGGCACTTCTCTCCTCTCATATTATTAGCTGGTGAGAAAATTGAAGCAGTCAGAATAAAACTTCCATGTGGTCTCATACACATTTCCAAACTTACCTGCTTTGGCGATCATGTACTTTTCCTTCCTTCTTGCTGCTTTGGGTGAGGTATGCTATTAGGTAAGGAATTTATTTATTTCCTTTACTTTAATCCCATCCTGTCATTCCTGTTCAACAACATAACTCTTGTCCTCTCTACTATAATTCATATCCCCCCCTCTCTATTGAATCATGCCAATAAACACGCTGCAGTTTCTCCAGTCTCAAGAAAAACCAAAAGAAAGTCTACAATAAAAATCTTTCTTTGATCCCTCATCACCTTCTATATAGTACAACTCTGGAGAGTTGTCTGTTCAGCAACTGCTCTTAATAAGGTCACCAATGACTTCCACATTCCTAAATACAGTTTTCAATGTTTAGGTCAATCTGTGAGTAATATTTGATACAGTATTCCTCTCCCATTCTTTTCACTTACTTCTCTTTGTTTCCATTGGTTTACCATTCTATCTTGGTTTCATTTTACTTTGCTAACAGTCTCTTTTTAGCATGCTTTGCTGGGTTTTTTTGTTTTGTTTTGTTTGTATCCTTGACTTCCTAATGCTGGTGTGTCACAGGGCTCAGTCTGTAGGATTTTTCTTAGTC